CTGACCTGTAGGGGCCTGAAGGCTTAAGCATTCCGACAAAAACAACGCTCATGTGTGGATTTGTAGGAACAAGTGCCTTACTAGTAGTAACAAGAAGCTACTAGGAACAAGTGCATCGCTTCTAGTAACAAGTGCGTTACTAGTAGTAACAAGAAACTATTAGAAACGCTCATGTGTGGATTTGTACAGAGGAATCTTGGATGTTGAAGGGTCCCAGTGGGTCCAAGCTGTTTTGTCGACATCCGTCCAGCACCAGGTGAAAAATGAGTGTTGAGTCTTGAGTATTTTGGTGTCTATGTTGGGAACTGGGCCGCCCGCCGTCACCGACTCAGAGAAGAATTCCGAACTTTGTGATTCCCTTACTTTGAAAGGAAGGATCGGATTTGTGATGATCTATCGTCAACTACCATTTGCGACTTGACGCATGTCAGAGTGACCAGTTTTGGATGTCTATAGGGGGGCTTACCAGGAACTGCGAGCTTCCAACACCTATGCAGGAACAAGACACCTCACAGAAGCCATAGGACCTAGCGCCCCGAATGTGCCTATGCTAAACCAAAGGAGCAACGGTTCTGCTCTAAAAAGTGCACAACCGGGACGAGGGGGAAGACACGGGTTGGACTCATGGACCCTGTGGGCAGGAATATGCGGCACGCGACGCCACCGCCCCAGACAGCAAGAGCTACACTGCAAATAGTTTGGATGAATGGCATGAAAGGGCGGTCCAAGTCCATTTTGTACCTGTAGGAATCAGAAATTGCATGTATCGTATCCCATGCATCCACACACCAACATGTATCGCCCAACCGAGACCAGCTTGAATAGCCTTCAAATGAAGCAGCGAGGCAGGCAGGTTGGACTCATATGGAGGTCACCCATCGAGCACGTTGAATTGAAAGGCCCAGGTGTTCCACGGCAGCTGAGGGATGACTTATTTGTCCGCCATTTGGAGGGCCGTATTTCTCACAAACTACTAGGAGCAAGGACGCTACTAGGAGCACAGGGCATCGCTACTAGGAGCAAAGAAGCTACTAGGGGCTCCTGGCCTTACTACTAGGACCAAGGACGCTACTAGGAGCAAAGGGCATCGCTAGGAGTGGCTGCATGTGGCGACAAGCAGCCTTTGCTTGGCAGGTTTGCTGTACAGCCTGACCCACAGCTGGTGGCTGAGCGGCGGCTTTAGTGTGCCCATGCCCTGCTTTCCCCGTTTGGATGCCGCCAATCCGGGAAACATGATGAACACCAAGTAAATGAGTTCATGCCTTCCAACCAATCAAGGAGGTTAAGGAGTGGGTCATAGACCACCGTCTCGCAGCTTGACTGGTGCGGTTTGGCAGTATTGGGGGCTTCGAAAAACAATACCCAACCCAGTCGCGCGGTTGCCTTGCCCTTTTTGCCAAACATTTTGTGAATCTCAGTGAATCTCAATGGGTTTGCTCATCAAGAGTCATCGTCTAATAAGACCTTGTGCTTGGTGTAGCAGTGTAGCTATGTTGTCAAAGAAAGTGTGCGGAAAATACAGTTGACCATTCCATTCCATGACTAGGTCTTGTTGTTTGTACTTTCGCTCCGCAGTGGTTCCCATGCACAAGAACTGACCTGTGGTGCATCTCTACTTGCTCAAAAGGGTTGAGACGACATCATTTGTAGATGGCAACATTCGGAGAGACAAGTTGTGCTGCTTTTCGGGCTACATGGCAGGTATTCAACCATCAAAGTCAAGCCAGCCAGACCACCGGCTTCTCCAACGGCGCGTCTGTAAAGGTGGGCGATGGTCAAAATATGCATAATTGAGCAAGGGCCATAGAGGACACCGTCGGTTGTTGTGTCAGGAGATTTCCTGTCAAAAGGGGCCACAGAATTGGAGATCGGAAGCGTTAGGATGTGTAGAAAGCAGATCATTTGCACCAAACCCAGCATCGAACAAGTTGCGTGTGCCCAGTTCGCTAGCAGGTTGGAGGCCATCGCTAGTAGGTTGGAGGCCATGCCCAGTTGGGGCAGTTTGGCAGGTGATTTGCCGCAGTTTAGCCTGGAAGCTCAGCGTCGCCACCATCTCGGAGTCGGGAAGTCGATTTTGGCACGACCCAAATCGAGAACGGTGATTTAACGTGTCAGAACTGACTTGGCGCGCACAAAAAGAACAGGGAGCTTCAACGGTTCAACACTGCTTCGAGTATCACATGAATCTTTGAGGCATGGCAGGCATAGTTGATTCTCGGCTTTCACGCGCTCCGCCAAAATTGCGCTTATGTTTGACTCTGGTCCATTGTCCCCAAATCATGGCGTCATGCTTGTTCCCGCCACCTTTCTGTCCGCGTCTTGCTGTCCGCGAGTCCAATTGACCATCTGAAGCACCGGCCCCCGCGCATGCAACTCCCCAGATGTGCGGATGCTAAGAGGGACATAGATCACCCTGTCACGGAGGGAACCCGCTCCATTCCTCGCCTTCCGAGGAAGTGGATCAGTGCAGACCCCAAGGAGCTGAATGTGGGGTGGGGTGAGACGTCTTTGGGAAGAGAAGCCCAGGGTCCACACATGCTATAAGCTATTAGGAACAAGTGCATCGCTACTAGTAACAAGTGCCTTACTAGTAGTAACAAGAAGCTAGTAGGTATTGGTGCACATTATATAAGCTACTAGGAACAAGTGCTTTCCTTTCTCGTTGTGGGACCTTTCTTCAAAGGTTTTGGGCATTCGCCCAACGGAGTCTTCTCCACTCAGCCCATGGAACTTATGGAACGGCTTGAGGTTCAAAGAGCTTGATGCTGCGGCACCAGACAGAGTAGCGACTTCACCTTTCCAAAACCCTTCCACCACACCTACTCTACACGCCCCGATCTTCTCACAACCCTTTCCCTTAAACTGGGCTCGCCTCCGTAAAAAAGGAATTGACTCCACAATACCCTACCCCTTTTTGTTCAGTAACACGAGCGCGGCGCACACGCGTTCGCCCCAAAAAAGGTGCCCAATCCCCAGCTTTGCCGAACGCGCGTTCGCTGCGCTGCGGTCTGCGCTGCGGTCCGAGGTTTGCCGATGCCATGGTGGCCTCATGGCTCCCCGTGGGCGACGTCCTGGACCACATCCAGGCCGATCTCAGTGCCAAGTCGCCCGGGACGCCCGGAGCGACAGCGACAGCTGAAGCGAGGAAAGCGAGGAAAGCGAGATGATGAGGTGGTTATGGGAGAGAGGAAGAGACGACAAACTGCACCATTTTCCGCCTGTGGTTTGAAAGGTCCCATGGCTTTCGGTGTATTTGAGGGATGAAGGGAAGACTGGAGGGTTTGGACAGAGGATCAATTTGTCAGACTCAGAGGATCCTTCATGAAGATGCCTTCATGTCCGGAAGGGTCTGTAAGGAAATGAAGTGGTTTCTCCTATGACCCTATGACATTCTTTCACCTGCTTTTTGTGCCAAGGGGAATTGACCATGGCTAAGATCCACAAGTCTGAGCCCACCGGCTGCGTCCTGAGTCCATCTGAGTCCATCTGAGTCCATCTGAGACTCTGAATTCGTTTTGGCCCAGCTGCACACGGCGGCTCCACAGCCCGTTCCCCCCATCCGTGGGCCGCACGGCCCGCACAGACGGATGGGAGCTCAGCGCTCGCACTCCGCACATAGTAGATGAGCCTTCGATGCCTTGTGAACTCTTTTTCTTTCTGGAAAAGGTCTTAGGGAAGTAGGTAGGTTGCAGGTCATTGCTATTAGGTTGGAGGCCATTGCTGTATTAGGTTCTCAGGGAAGGAAGGGTTGGTAAGGTAGTGAGCGTTGGGTGTTCGATGGCCAGTTCTTCGCCATGCCTATTGGGTGCAGGCTTGCCATCTTTCATCCTTGCCACGTTAAAAGCAGAATAACGCATCCAAGGTCAATCCATAATTAATGTCACCGAGTTCAGTTCGTGACATCCTTGTGGCAGGGCCCAAGGCCTCATTGTCGATCCACCCTGGGACGGAGTTTTAGCCTCGGGTCTTCCTGAGGAAGGCCACGGCCCGTACCAACGCAGATTCGGAAGAAAAGCTGCCGTAGATCCCCCGTATACTAGTAGCAAGGACGCGACTAGGTGGAGGCCATCAATAGCTAGTAGCTATTTGCTAGTAATTACAAGTGCATCGCTAGTAGTAACAAGTGCCTTACTGGTAGTAACAAGAAGCTATGAATGTTTAACTTAATTCTAATTGTTACTAGTAGTAAGGCACTTGTTCCTAGTAGCTTCCTACTAGTAGGCACTGAAGAACGGGGATGAGGTTTGTTGCATGTACCGCATGAAGGTTCAGATTCTTGGGAGCCATGCCCAGAGAGAGAAAGAGAGAAGAGAGAGGCCAGGCGGCCAACCTAACCCATCAAGAGTGTGATTGTTTTTGTCTACGTATGTCCGCCACCTCCTAGATCCATCCGTGTTGATAGAACAGAACCACCTTGGCTCAAGACGGAACAAGACATGGCCAAGGCAAGGATGGTCCGGAACCCCAGGTCTTAGAGCAGTTAGAGAGCTTCAAGTTCATGCAAGATCTGTTTCGGTGCCTTCCCTTGGGGTCTCTCTACACCTCTCTCTCTCTCTCGCTCTATCTCCCTCTCTCTCTCTCTCTCTGATATCATGACCTTATGTAGAAAAGCCGGCCTGGGGAATGGGGGTTTGGCCGCAGGTTGACAAATTCCGAGTGGACCCTGTCACATGGTAAAGCCGAGGCTGATCCTTTCACTCGGCCGTCAGGGCCCTGGAGTGGCCATTCAGAGACGCTCTTTTCTTTTCCCAGGTCTAGCGCCACAAATGTCAATCACCTTGGCATTTCTGTTGCTTTGTACTGACGGGCTAGCAGCAACTTTGCGGGGATGAGTCCAGAAACACGACATATCTTCAAACCTCCCAATATCACCTGAGTCAGTAGTTTTCAAACTGAGCTGGAAAATGTTTTCTTGACCACTGAGAGAGCTTGCCGCAGAACTTCTGGCTGAAGTTGGGTTGAGGAAGGCAACCCGCATGAGTTCTTTTTGACGTCGAACGATGTCTCTCTTCGCGAGATGCCCATGTGCGTCGGACAGCCCGGCCGACCTCAATGTAGGGGAGGAGAGGGATTTTGGGGAAGGGCTCGGGCTACCCTAAGACTTTACCTCCCAATTGAAAGGTTCCACGGAAGTTTGTGTGCACCATCTATTCAGTCCCAACCAGCACTTGACATAGGGGCTTTGCTAGACATTTTTGCCAACCCTGTCTCCTTTTCACCACCGACGAACACGGACACCGCTCCGCACCCGCTGTTTTCAGGACGATCTCGTCGAAGCATCGTGCGACCCGGATGTGGTTCCCGTGGTGCCCCGCTTGGAGAAGATCGAAGAGGTCGAGCATTCCTTTTTCTTGATGGTCGGGGTGGGGTGGGCTTCAAGTCGGGGGTAGCTAGCCGCTAGTGACAGCTAGTGGTGAGGAGAAGAAGCAAAGCAAACTCCCCCCCCCCCCCCCCCCCCCCAGAAAAACTTTGCTTGATTGTTTTGTTTCCCAGATTGGTTGGGAAATGTGGCATTCCTGGACGGTCCTGGACATTGTTCCCCTTTTCCCTTTGGGTGATGCGGGGATGCGGTAGTTTGGAAACGAGTTCGGTTTAGTGTCTTCCGCCCTGGCATCAGTGAATAACAATCAACCTCTTCCACTTAAACAGATTGAAAAAATCCCGCTGAGGATCATTCCTTGACTCATGGTTTCTTGGATCCAGTGGCAGGAGCCCAAAGAAGAGAAGAAGGACGCGCCGCCTGACGCGAAGCCCGACTTTTCAGGACATTGGGTCCAAGTGGCAGTCGAAGGCCCGACAAACGCGGACATCAATCTGCCCAAACATCCCAAACAATGACGTCACCTCACATGACGTCACCTCACAATTACGACCTAACTGTGTGAAACAAGGGCAGCACCGTTCTCAAATTGGTTCTTTGTAGCCAGCTACCCCCCAAAAATAAATAACGGATTGGCCAGCAGTTCCACCTCTTTTCCACATTCGATTTCCTGCATCCTCTAAAATACCAGTTGTTATCGGTCAAAGTATGCTCCTTTAAAAGCAAAATGGTCTTCGACCATGAAAGAAGCAGTCCGAGACTTTTGAAGCCACAGATTTGGAGCAAAAAGTGATTTCACAAAAGGTTGAAAGTGGATGTTTCGAGATTTGAACACCTCTCCGTGTCAGTCTTGAGGCACGACTTTTGACCCAACGACCTACGAAACATTCTAGTTTGACAAGATCCATGTGTCTTTGCACTGAAGCTGACTGGAATGTTGAATCAATGACAAAGGTCCGGATCTTGTTTATAGCATGAAGGCGGCAGACAGTTGCATGATCCAAGGCCTTCTAGAATAGCGTTCCTGGGCCTGACTCGTAAGTCCAGAAGCCAAGTGTTCGGTATGACGAGTCTGCTTTGATTCGGGTCCAGCCGACGCGTGCCGTGCTCGTTTTCAGGGGACTTCGATGCCTATTTGAAGAGTATGGGCATGGGTTATGTGAGCCGCACCCTTGCAAAGAGCATGGGCTACGGAGTGAAGAAAGTGCAGCAAGTCGTCGAGCATGAAGGAAGCTCGGTCGACATGTGCTTTTTACAACCCCGCTTCCTTTGTGATCAATTTCAGGCTTGTACCCTGCTTGTACCTTCACATGGCATTTTGCTGAGAGCCCAGTGGGCACTGAGGAGAGAAGTTCAAAATGACTCTGACAAATCCCAAAGGGACCAAAGTCTTTGACCTTCTCATCAACAGTGCCGAGCAGGACGCCGTGGAACGAACACCTCGACGCACGCACCTGCGCGACGCATCGACGCACGGGAATGAACATGGCAGGACTCCGTCGACCCGGTCGAGGACAAGCCCATCAAGGTGCCGGAGAAAAGAAGAGTGAAAGAAAAAATGGATAAGAAAGAAAGAAAGAAACCTAATAGTGATGGCCTCCAACCTACTAGCAATGGTGTCCAACCTACTAGCGAGGATAAGAGAGTCTCTTAAGGGTCCTTTAAGGGTTGAAAGAGGACGTGAGGGTTCGTGGACCTCTTAAGAAGAATCCGCTCTCTTTGTTGTTCTGTTGCTTTCTTTTCTGTGTTTGGACCTTCTTCAATGCTCTTGATCTTTGCTCTTTCTTTTCGCAATCCGTTCTTCATCATGACGGCCAAGCAAGGTACAGCTCTACTGGGACAAAACAAGCTTGGTGATGTCCAGCAGGCAGGGCAGCTGCGCTGGAGCTGGAGAAGTGAAATAGAAGCGAGATATAGGGCGACTCATTTGGCGTTTCCCCTAAGACCTAGAATGAATGCAAAAAAGTGTGCAATAATTATCTGGCATGTAAGTATTGTGTTGTTCTTTGGCCCTTGTCTTTTTCTTTAATCAAGAACTTTGGACCTTTCCACAAGTTTGCGGACCAGAATGTTGAATATTTCTCAGCGTCAAATCGTGGATGTAAACACGGCTTGCCCTACTACTGGCCTGGTACAAAGGAAACATGGACTCAATCAGGACCAGCCTGCTTGCTTTGCAAGAAGCATAGAAGTGACGTCGGACGACGACGCCAGGTCGGAGAAGCCCCCAAAGGAGTTGGGGAAAACCCGACGATACCTGCGAGACCAGGCCGGCACCAAAACAGCGAGCAAACTCGTTGCTTTCAGGTGTGTTTGCAAGGGGTAGTGCACCAAAAGGCCCAATTCGATCCCACTCGTTTTCTCTCAAAACAACTCGAGGTGTATATATATATACAGTATATTGTCACCAAACGGCCGACCACACCGCCCAATGCACCGAGGACACCATCGTGGAGCTCGAATCCCCGGACGGGGTCCGTGCGAAGCGAGTCTTTTCGAAAGCTAAGACCTGAAGGTCTTGGGTGCACAGCTGAGCCACATAGCTGAGGGTCCCAACCAGGGCTGGGCCAAAGAAGGAATAAATATGATAGAACTAGAACCATCTAGTAGACATGAATTCGCGGTGTTACAGAATGTCTTGTGTTGCTTGCGCACTTCTTGCTTTTTGATCCACGAGATTTCTGATATTTCTGACTGTCCAGCCCTGGTCCCAGCGAGCTTCCACTGGAAAAGCTGCAAAGTTCCACGGATATGGCCCAACAATGAACGAGTTCTCACAAAAGACGGGGTCCTGTAGACTAGGGGGCACCCTAGGACGCTACTAGTAACAAAGGGGCTACTGGCCTTACTACTAGTAACAAGAAGCTACTAATAGCATACAAGTAGTTCCCGGGCAAGCCGGCGGCGGAAGTGTCCTATAAGAACAAACTGACCTATAGGAGTGTCCCGGTTCTTTCCACCATGCGTGTCCCTCGTGTCCCTCAGTCAGACGCATGAGTGATGAGTGATGAGTGAAGCATAGCTCTAGCTCTAGCTCCACTAAAGCTAACTGGATCTAGACGTTAACTATGATGTGATAGCTTGTCTAGACACGAAGCTAATTAGCTCAAATTTGTCAACCTCTCAAAGCACGTGTTTTGAGGTCTCCAGAAAGTAATCGAAATGACCACTTTTGCGTAAGCAAAGTAGCTAAAATTTGTCAACCTCTTAAGAGAGCCGGGTGGTCGGGAGACATGACTCAGCTGCAGGGGCGCCAGAGCAGCCGCGAGAGATGACTCATCCGCGTACTAAAGTTGTACTACAAAGTCGCCACTTCTCATCTTCCAGCTCCCAGATACTCCGCGTACTAAAGTTGTACAAGAAAGTCGCCAGTTCTCATCTTCCAGCTCCCCAGATACTCCGCGTACTAAAGTTGTACTACAACGTCGCCAGTTCTCATCTTCCAGCTCCCAGATACTCCGCGTACTAAAGTTGCACCAGTTCTCATCTTCCAGCTCCCCAGATACTCCGCGTACTAAAGTTGTCCTACAAAGTCGCCACTTCTCATCTTCCAGCTCCCAGATACTCCGCGTACTGAAGTTGCACTAGAAAGTCGCCAGTTCTCATCTTCCAGCTCCCCAGATACTCCGCGTTCTAAAGTTGTACTACAAAGTCGCCACTTCTCATCTTCCAGCTCCCAGATACTCCGCGTACTGAAGTTGTACTAGAAAGTCGCCAGTTCTCATCTTCCAGCTCCCCAGATACTCCGCGTACTAAAGTTGTACTACAAAGTCGCCAGTTCTCATCTTCCAGCTCCCCAGATACTCCGCGTACTAAAGTTGCACTACAAAGTCGCCAGTTCTCAGCTTCCAGCTCCACAGATTGCTCCGCGTACTGAAGTTGTACTACAAAGTCGCCAGTTCTCATCTTCCAGCTCCCCAGATACTCCGCGTACTAAAGTTGTAATACAAAGTCGCCAGTTCTCAGCTTCCAGCTCCACAGATTGCTCCGCTGAAGTTGTACTAGAAAGTCGCCAGTTCTCATCTTCCAGCTCCCCAGAT